TGGTTATAAAAAAAGGGCCACCGGGCGCGGCCAAGCCTGTACTAACCAGGCTTTACGGCAGCGCTGGGAGGGAAGGTGCTGGGATAGCCGCATTTGGGATGGGATAAGACATTCCTTTGCTGGCCTCTAGCACGTATGTGCTAAGTTGGGGTAAAACATGCAATGCAAACCCTATTTTTTGTTTATGCTGTGTATTTATATTAATGTAATCGCTGACATCGTTACATGGGTTAAAACTCCCCTGCTCTGCAAAGGGTGCTAGATTTTTGGAAAACTGGGGAGAAACAATTTACTGAGAGGTGGCTAAGGGTGTGAAATTAATTCCTAGTTATTTGGTACAGCCTCCATCTGCTTTGGCTGATGGGACCTTGTCCACCTGCACCTGCAGCAGGTTAAACTGGTTCCACTTCTCTAGAGCCTGCTTATTCCCCAAGAGTAACTGGTAGCAGGTGCATACCATGATACATGGGTAAAGAAGGCTGCGTGGGTCAAGCGATTGCTGGTAAATGCACGTGCCCCAAGGGAAAGTATTCATTTGGCTTTGGGTTTTTTTGTATGGTTCTAAAAGTTCTCATCCCACCTATTTCCGTCTTCAGAAGCAGGCATAGCCCAAGCACTCTACCTGCAATCCCGTATCTTCTCACGTCAGAACGAGTGGGGGCTGGAGGAGGTGAGCTGGTGCTCAGTGCCTGACCTGTGCCTTGCGCTTCCCTGTGGGGAGTTGGGAGCAGTGGGAGAGGGATAAGCCTGGGGAAGCAGAAAGCAAGAAGAGATGGAATCTGCAGCCAAGCCTTGGGAGACACAGTGCCTTCGAAACCATTGCTGTCTGTAGAGGGGGTGGTTATCCCCTGTGTCTGGTGCATACCTGTGTGTAAGCTTCTTTATTTTCTGTAGGCCTTACTGCTCCTGTAAGTGAGCTGGAGTTAGGTTCTTTTGCAAAGAAAAAGGGTATGAGAGAATGCAATCATTGCACAAAACCAAGAGGAGAGGGGAGGAAGAAAGAGACAGGAATTACTTAAGCTGCTGTTTGCCCTGAGAACAAACAGTTATAACTGGGCCGTGAAGTGCAAATAAGGTTTCCAAATCCCTGACGAGTTGCATCTGCAATAGCTTTTGCAATAAGAGCACTAGGGACACATCCCCCCTTTCTGGTTTTAAATGAGAGGTGGTTATTTGAAATGGTAGCTTGTGACAGGAAAGGATGGGACCAGTGACCTCAAACCTCAGTGTCTTTCTTGGGACTGGGATGGGGGGAAGAGTCCTTGGCCAGGCCAGGTCCAGGTTGGAGATGATCACGGGATGGCTGCTCAGGGCACTCTGTAGGATGATTATAGCACTTGGTCCGTTTCCCAGTTTGCCAGCGTCATGTCACAGAAGGAGCTTTGTATGGATCCTGGTGCACGTTCTTGTTGGCTGGTGACTTTGGGTTAAACTTGAATGTAAATTCTTGGCTCCTCCTGGAGGCTTTTCCTTTTGATTCTGGCAAGGGGAGGATGGAGGCGCGTTCCCTCTGATGTGCACAGAGACCTCTAATTTGTGCTTTCAGTCTGGTCTTTTATGAAGCGCTCAGGAAGAGGATGTATCGTAGTCAATAGAGTACCTCTGTTTTCTGTAGCACTTTTTCTCGTGAGGGGGAATTAAGCTGCATTACTGCTTTTTTCCAGCGTCCCTCTCTGG